GTTTAAACTAATGTATATTTGTTGTAACGTTCCTGCATAGTGGCGACTTTGGAGGGGGCAAATTATATCGAAAAGAATATCAAATCGAAATAATTTAATATTAAAAGTACGTAAAAAAGACTAATGTTCAAAATTATTTGTTAAACACATTATATGTTAAAACACACTGAACGAGAACGTTTAAACAAATGTACATTAGATTAAACAATTATATAAAAATGAAAAAATGTTAAAATCAGATAGTTTTAATCTTAAAAATTTAATTGATTAAATTGATTATTTCCTTTATACATATTTCCTTTATACAATTTTCCATATATATTTTTTCTCTACACATTTTATAAAATATGTATTATTACATTAATATGTTACAATGTATTTATATATTTTTATATATTAATATATTCACAGTATTAATTCATATTATAAGTATACACAGTATAATATTCAATACGTTCACACATATTAATGTATTTTATTTGTAATTTATTTTATATATAATATATTTAACGTATTATACATAAAGTATTGATTTTTATATTAACGCGTTTATCTATACTAATGATCAAATACATTTGAATGTACCGAAAGAAAAAGATAGAAAATTCAATGAGAAAAAAGTCAAATAAGTCATACACTTATTAATCGTCTAAATGTTAAAAAGAATAAATACCAATCTGTATTAATAAATAAAGAAAACATATAGTTTAGTTGAAAAAAAGAAAAAAAGTAGAAGAAGATAGCTTTCGATACATTTATCCTATGATTTTATTTTACTTTGTAGAAATTTATTTGACATCTCTTACGTATAAGAAAGACAAAGTTAAACGCGAGTTTATAAAAAACGTTAGTTGTATTTGGGTCATTCCATGTCAAATCGACAAATTTTTTACCTGACCCCCTTTGATTTCGCTGAAAATTTTCTATCTTTTTCTACCCCCCGAAAGTTATTTTTCAGAATTTTTTCAAATTTTTTTTCCCGACTCAAAAAAGGTTATGAATTTTTGAAAAAGACCGCTCTTTTATTTTTAAATTGCCAGAACTTTGTCAAAAATTGACCGTTTGGGAACTTTTTTTT